GTTAGCAGAACACACTAATAAAGCGAAGTGAAGTATGAATCATTCACGTATCGTGAATGAAACTCTGGAGTTCCGGTAGACCAGTCAAGTTGGTCCATTATATTATTAGAATAAAGAACACAGCGCCGGGGACGGGGGAGAGAAGGTTTCAGAGTTGTCTATGTACCGCAACGTCATGTAAGTTTCGTGAAAAACAGAGCGAAAAAAAAAAGAATCAACGGGGAAAAGAACAGAGTGTCTCCTAAATTGTTAGTGGTGGAGGCTATACACAGAATGTTAAAAATTTTATTTTATAGTTGGTTTCACTTGGTTAACTTGGTTTTTATAGTGTGGGGTACTAAGTTAAAAAGTTTTTAAAAGCTAATGTATCAACTGTGTAGTAAATACAAATACGTTTAGTTATTTGCTGTTGTTTTTCTTTTTGCCAGAGTACAACATAGACAAGAGTAAGCTAAGTAAATGAGCTAAGAAATGAAACAGTATAATTAATAAGCATTTTAAGGGCTAGGCTACATTTCTTTTTGCATTTATATGAACACGTTTTTTTTCCGTGTTTATATGTCAAATAGAACACTCCTCTGTTTAAAAAAAAAAATCACAGCAAAAATAATTCCTTAAAGAAATGAACCCACGCTATGTTTAACCCCCCCCCCCCCCCCCCACACACACACACAAACACCAAACGCACCCCCTGCAATAAAAAAACAAACAAAACAAAGCAAAAAACACCAACAACTTAACCCACCCTCCTTCACACGCCAATGATTTTTTTTCCATTTATACATTGTTTACATTCAAACAATCAATTTCTTCATTAAATTAATCAGAAAGTTAATCCAGATGTTTGGTTTTTGTCATCGTGAAAATATTTTATAAAAATGGCCCCTAACGCAACAGTTTGAGAAGCGGTGATCTAAACGTTGATTTTCGGGACTTCCCCAAACCTTTTCTTCCGGCCGAGTCAAGCAAAACGAAGCCAGGAAGATGTCGTGCTGCGCATGCGTACAGCCGTGTTTGCTTGACTTGTTTTGTGTCGCAGCTAGGTACAAAAATATAAGCTGGCTCCATTCACAAATTTCGTTTTTGTAGCCGTACTTTCGTTCACGAAATCAATATGTGTTGGAGACATTGACCGTGCTAAATATGTAACTAGTGTAAGGAAGAAAAAAAAAAACAACTTCGCGAGGGTTTGAGTTTCGTAAACGTTGACACTGTTTCAGAGGCGTAGCGGGACGGGGGTACATTATGTCCCCAGGCGCCGACCTTAGGGGGCGCCAAAATAGATTGTAAAAACAAATTAAAATCTCATTTTAGCTGCAGTTTTGCATTATAAATATAAAAAAATATATGGGGGGGGGGGTGCAAATTGAAAATTGAAAGGTTGTTCCCGTGTGCCGGGAAGGGGTCGCTACGCCTCTGCACTGTTTCGTATTCCACATGTATACCGATTAGCTGAAATTATATGGAATCTAAAAACTGCCGTTGAAGCTGAATTAGTAAAGGGGGGGGGGTCCATACACAGTGTCTCGCGAATTTTGGAGTTTGATACATTCAAAACATTATTTTGTGAAATAATGCACGAAAATCACTGTCTAATACTGGTGACGCTAACGAATATTAATCTGCTTTTCGTCATTTTTACTTTCTCGTAAACGTAGTAATCGGAAAGAATTGAAATAATGTGAAAAACCGGAGTGTGTGTGTGTGTGTGTGACTGTGTGTGTCAGTAGCGTACGCAGGGGGGGAGCAGGGGGAGCGGCCGCTCCCCCTCTGGCCATTTTCAGCAAAGTGGCGCCTTTTTGGAAAAATTTTAAACTCAAAGTTTTAAACAATGATATTTGTTAAAAAAATATTTTTGGTCGGCACATCTATGTAAATCACAAGATTTATTTTCATGCAGCATAAACTCTGTGAATATTGTTTTTGCAATTACCAGTAAAAAAGTGTGTGATCAATACAGTGATCTAACCCATACCTATCACTATGTTAAAAAATGATCTTTAATGAACACAACAAAAGACCGATATTTAGTTAAATGTAGGCTGTTATTCCGAATGTTTTTCTATTATATCGAAAAGCGTGGTTTTATACCAACTCTGATTTTAAAAACTTTCATTATGCTGTAATACTTTAGCATTTATGATGACGATATATTAAATTCTGATTATAGACAAAAACATTTTGTAAACACGAATAGTGTTAAACAATTTCATTATATTCTAAAGTAAGTATTCATTTGTTTTGCAATTTATAATTAAATGTGTAGATATATACATATTTATATTAAGAGAGTGATTATTTCCCCTATTTAACTTGTCTTAAATAATTTCCCAGGGATTATTATGTAAGAAATTTTTTCACAATAAATACAAAACAGATTGTGTTACGTTCATTGTTTTTGGTTGTAGTGTATATATATATATATATATATATATATATATATATATATATATATATTTTTGTTGTTGTTTAGATTGATACAATTTTTGTTTTGTCGGCCTACATTGTGTGTTTTTTTCTTATTTTTTCAGAGTGCTACTTTCAATTTTTAGCGCAATTTCCATACTGGCAATTGCGATTATTAACTCGTATAGGGATGGATGTGTGTCCGCGCTTTAAGTCGTATCTCCTCTTCAACGAGGCAATATCGAGGACTAGTTCCAAAAGGAAATATGTTAAGAAAGTTACGAGGATGATTGTGGGCAAAAAAATTCCCGGAATTCCTTCCTGGATTTCCCGGAAAAGCCAAAACACCTCGAAAAAATGCAGTTTTTGGCCCATATCTCGGCTACCAGACCACTTAGCGACTTCAAACATTTACCAATTGATTTCTGCCATAATTTAGAACAATATTGCCGAAGAAAGTTTTCAAAAATATCCTTTCGTTTGGTCTCAAAAAATTAATTAAGGAAATTGCGCTTAAATTGTCACTAGACTTTTTATTAACTTGTTTTTACATCATAGCGAAGTAACGACATACAGCTAGTAATTATATTATATATATATATATATATATATATATATATATATATATATATATATATATATATATATATATATATATATATATATATATATATATATATATATTACACGTATATAGAACGTGTTAAAAATTCGGAGCCTTTTTTGCTCTTTTCGCTCCCCCTACAACGAAAACCTGGATACGCCTCTGGTGTGTGTGCTGGTTAGATGGAGGGGGTGTCATTCTAGAATAACATTATTAGCTTAGTGGAAAGCTTTAAAAATAAAATGCATTCATTGATTAATTATGGTATTATTAAAATAATTCGCCAATATTTCTGGTGAAAATTCCGAATGGTTGATAAACCTTAAAATAATTATATTTCTGGTGAAAATTCAAAATGGTTGATAAACCTTAAAATAATTATATTTCTGGTGAAAATTCCAAATGGTTGATAAACCTTAAATTCGTTATATTTCTGGTGAAAATTCCAAAAAAGTTGGGAAATTTAAGAAAATGATCCTAGGGGATAGACCGCTGTGGCCACTAAACCCCCTCTACACTACACCTGTCGCAAGCGTGACCCTTATTACCTATTCAGCACCGCCTTACAAACTCACCTCTGAAGACCGGCGAGCAAAACGCTGCCCTTGCCTGAAGTGAAGCGTGTCAACACTCAGCCGCTATCGGCAAACCAATCGTGCTCACAGAATAACAAACCTATGACCCTGTCTGACCGTGTCTGATTTTGTCCTTAGTGTACACCTATTTCATGTAAACACCGCCGGCCTACCAGTTCATGTGTAAAGCGAGGTGGGATATTTATATTCGGCGTCAATGTTGACACAACACCTACCAAAGACGGAGATGAGTATTGGGTGAATTTGCATTCGGCGCTAAGAGCTTGAAGTACTTGTTGAAATCGCCGAAGACGTGTTGGCCTTCAACGCTGCTGATACAGATATTCTAATTTCTACCGCTAGTTCAGGATGTAGTATTGTCCCTCTCTAATTTGGTCCCTAACGAAGATATAAGCAAAGTTTCTTTCAAGCTTCTCTCCTGTGCCCCCCCCCCCCCCCCCCGCCGAATCACGTCCACCGCCCCCTCACTGGACGAAAAAGAAAAAAATATATATATAGAAAATATCGACTTTAATCGGTGCCTCTCCACCCCCCCCCCCCCGGAAATTTTAAGTGCGAACTCCCAGAAAAAAAGTTCTGGTGTGCCCCCTTCTCCATACAGAGTACAATGTCTTAAAGAAAGAGAAGGAAACCTTTATGCACTGAGCTAAACGTGGATTAATAAGAACAAAGCTTATTTTCCTAGTTTTACGGAGAGTAGTATCAGTAATTTGCCAACTCCCTACCAAATTTGAGTTGTGAAACAATTCGTTAAACCACCATCCCCCACATAACACAGATCAAACATTATAAGGGCGCCGTGCCCTCCCATCTCCCCACACACAAAGCACAATTTATTTTTAAAAAAAATCAATTGGTATATCAAATTATTTTTAACAAAATCAATCGTTACATTTTCGTAACTAATGAGCACAGATTTCCGTTAAATGTTGCTGTGGTTGCGAAAATAAAAACAAAGTGAAAGGCTAGATAGATCTGTATTCTACAGGCCTTAACTACCGCCTGCTGGAATTACGGGGAGATGTTTGTAGAACAGGACTGTTGGTTCACGGTCTAAATAACTAGTGTTTCTTTCAGACATTTTTCTCCGTGAGGGGGGGGGGCACTTGAAACTTTCGGGGTAGGACTTTCCGGGGGTGGGTGAGCACTGGTTGAAGTATATATTTGCATATCAATTCTTTTCAATTCTTTTCAGTTCGGTGGGGGGGGGGGGGGGCGGTAGAAGGGCAAGAGGACGGTACACCCCAAAGAGATGCCTGAAAGAAACTCTGCATATAACCGATTATAACAAAACGACAAACGTTAACCCTACCCACTTCATATTGTATACTTATTAAAACCTTTACTGTCCTTTACCAATCCTAATGGTAAAACTTCCCCTTCTCTTCTTTCAGTGAAAGAAAACGGATGTAAAACCTCCACATTCGGATGCTGCGCAGACGGCGTCACCTACGCGAAAGGCAACAACAAGCAAGGCTGTCCGCCCTTCACCGGACTCTGCTCGGAATCACGATACGGCTGCTGCCACGACGGAGTGACGGCAGCGAAAGGGGAAAACAACAAAGGGTGCAGAGAGGAACACCGACTAGTTGGCGGCTGTGCCGGTACTCGCTACGGCTGTTGCGCTGACGGCGTCACTTCTGCCAGGGGAGAGAACAGATACGGCTGCCCATCGACCTGCGTAGCTTCCGCCTATGGCTGTTGCAGTGATGGTGTAACCTCTGCTTCCGGTTAGTTCGTTTCATTTTATAAAACGACGGGATCCCTCCTTACTATTAAATTAACTAGATCTAGATCTAGATTCTAGATGTGCTGATGTAGATCTAGTATTAAGTATACTAACTCATTTAGTCTATTGATCTAGATCTAGATCTAGAATCTACTACTAAATTACTATAGTTAAGATATAAACAATGCACTGTGTGAGAGCAAGATTTGTTTTTTTAAACAGTGGCCATCAGTAAATCAGAGTGAATCTCCACATGCTAGATCTACATACATTACGATTACTCTACAACTAGATCTAGATCTAGATCTACTACTAGATTTAGATATCTAGATCTATAATTTTACCAAAAGAAAACCTAAACAAGATGGCTGTTACTGTTAAAAAAGTAAATGAGCTTGGTTTCATCTGATGAAAATATCGTTAATCTTTATTTTATTACTGTCTGACTGTTACACTTCACTCAACACTGTAAAGTTTTAATAAATCTGTTGAATAACAAGTAGATCTAGATCTAGATTTAGAGTCTAGATCTACATGAATTAAACAATAATGATACATTTTTGTAATTTTTAAAACATAAATCCTCCTATCCTAGTCTAGATCTAGATCTAGAAATAATAAATAAATATGAAATAATTACTAAATTAGTTAATTACTAAAATTAATGAGTCACATTTTTTTCACATTACTAACCTTGGATGATTTTACATACCCAAAATGATAGATTACCCAAATAGCATCGTAATTAATTATTCTTCATAAGGCTTTAAGTAGATCTATTGTTTATTGTGATGTTTAGTATCAAATATAAAAATATAGGGTCCAATAGCTAATAGAATAATCAACCAAACTAAATTTCTAAAATCAACAGAGGCCAGAAATAAGCTTTAAACAGCAATGTTTGAGAACAAGATTTGCTATGTAAACAGCAGTAGCCATCTGTAAATTCGAGTGGTTTCCCCTGAAATTCAACCAAAACAAATAACTTTAAATAGATGTCTGCTATGTTAACAAATCATTTAGAAATAAAAACCATACATTTTTAAAAATAAAAAAGGCCGATTCTAGCCGGAAAAAGATGCGCATGCGCAATGGTGAGAAACTACCGCCTTCATGTTTTCGATAGCACTGCGCATGCATGTCTTTACAAACAAACATCAGAACCCTAACCCCAATGCAGCTACTAAGGTCACTGTGCATGCACAGAACTATTGAGTTTAGTATTTTCTGCCAAAACTTATTTTTCCGAGTATGCACTTTGAATAAAAAAATCTTTTTTTCTCCAGGACCTAACAAGCAAGGCTGCCCAGAAGAAGAAAAAAATATTGTGCTTGGTGGGTGTGAGTCTACCAGGTATGGTTGCTGCAATGATGGGGTCACTGCTGCTAGAGATGAGCAGAAGTTAAACTGTCCAGGTTTTGACCCAGGTATGTGCCTCAATGTCTTGTGTATGTAATTACAGGAGATTAATAAGCACAGATTACTTTGGGAATGGGAGGGGCAGTCTGATTTAACTAGCCTATTACTTTGGCAATATGTCTGGTTCTGTGGCCAAGGAAGACATGGAGAACGGTTGAAGAAGAGGCGAAAGCAGCTGGGCACACATGGGCACAGATAAAGGGGGCAGCCCAAAACCGAGTCCGATGGAGATGTGTGGTTGCAGCCCTTTGCTCCCCAGGGGCCACAAATGAATGATGATGATGTGCCTCAATGTCTTGTGTATGTAATTACTGGAAATGAATAAGCACAGATTACTTCGGGGATGGGAGGGGCAGTCTGTTTTAACTAGCCTATTACTTTGGCAACATGTCAGGTTCTATGGGAGCCAAAAGACAAAATACAAATTTCTTATAATATTTAGATATCTGTGCGGTTATTAGAATAGTAAGCATTAATTTTGCTATTATGAAAATTGATGTGGGTTGGGGCAGTCTTTTGTTTTTACCTTTCACCAGCCTTTTACCAGGAGACACAATTAATCACAATACAAATTTTTAGGCTTAAATTCCAGTTTTATTTTACTTTAAAAAAAATATTAGTGGGTAAATTTAGGATATGAGATTAGATTGCCTAATAAATACCTTTTATTTTCAGCCATATTGTGCACAGATTGCCTAATGAGTACCTTTTATTTTCAGCCATATTGTGCACAGATTGCCTAATAAATACTTTTTATTTTCAGCCTATTGTGCACTGCCCAAGGACGCAGGAAGCTGTGGCAACTTCACTCTGAAATGGTTTTTTGACACCAAGTATGGCAGCTGTCGTCAGTTTTACTATGGGGGGTGCAAGGGCAACCAGAACAGGTTCCCCACCAGAGAGGACTGTGAATATCACTGTGTGAATGTAGAAGGACCAGGTGCGTGTTGGCTCATCCCATCTTTTGATATATGGTTTAGAGAGTAATTGATGAAGTCGAGTTTATGTTTATTGACCTCGACATATGAAGGGATATTGTTGTCAGTACTATGCCCAGCTGCGTTTACTTTCTCTGATGTGAGTTAGGTACCCATCAGAGTTGGGTGGACTCAGGGACGTTACACTAACTTGAAGCCGGATTCGTACTCGAGACTTTCTGGTTAGAGGTCTAGCGCTCCACTGCTAGGCCAGGCCATCATACGCTTAGAGAGAATAGTCGGTTAATATAAATTACATTGCGATGAAACATAAAATAACTTAGAATGATAGAACAGTAATTTTGTGTAAGTGCTTTTTAGGATTACTTATAAAATATGTAAGTAGACCTCTTCCAAACTAGGAGAGGAGTAAGTGCTTTTGTCGTAATTGCAAATATAGGGATTGTGTGGTCAGCACATTGTTCATTGGAAATTATTTTTACATCATTTACTGAAAATTACAGTTTGAGCATTAAGGCCATGAAAAAGCCCACTTAGTATACCCCTGCGTTTGTCTATTTAAAATACGGTGCTAGACTTTAACATATTTATTTAAACATTTCCATTTTAAAACCCTCAGTTTAATCGCAGTAAATGATTTCATGAAGTCTCTATATGAACACAAATTTATTTAAACTTTTCCATATGAAAACCTCCAGTTTTGTTACAGTAAATGATCTCATGCAGGCTCTATATAAACACAAATTTATTTAAACTTTTCCACATGAAAACCTCCAGGTGCATGCAGATTACCAAGTGTTGTGGGTCCCTGTAAATCATACCAAACAAAGTACTTCTTTAACCTTGAGAAGAAAAAATGTGAGCAGTTCACCTATGGCGGCTGTATCGGAAACACCAACAAATTTAATACACTTGAAGATTGTGAGGCCAGTTGCAGTCAAAGAGGTAACACATTTAATGTTTAATATGACGAGGAGTTTCTAGCTACATTGTTAATGAATACATTGCTATTTGACTAGGATTGGTAGCAGGCATTGTTAATGAATGTTTTTATTGCTTTTTGATGTTTCATATTAACATTATATGTAATTGAATATGTGTATATGTAATTTTATCCATAGAGATCATTTTAGTTTTGTATATTTAACTTTACATATAACATGCAAAATTGAAGTCTAGGTCAATGTATACTAAATAGCAAATTTTATTTGTATTGAAGTAGTAGCTTCAACACTGAACAGTTGCATGGGATGCATGTAGCAATTTTTTTATATATGTAAAATAAAGGCCTCTATTTGAGTAGGGGTGGGGGAGGGGTTTGTGTCCACACAGCTCTGATGGGTACCTAACTCAGTTTAGTGGAACTAAATTGGCTGGGCAAAGTGCTGAGCACACTTTCCTCCTGTATGCCAAGGTAACTGAAACAGACAAACTCTACTTCATCTACCCCATGTGTCTTGGGCACCAGCTGGAAAATATTTGTGAAGAAGGAAGTCAAAATCTATTACATGGTCCTAACTTTTAAAGAGAAAAGCAACAGATCTTTAACATTACAATGTATTATGTTCATATTATTATGTGACTGTATGTTTTTTTTTTAAATACCACGTTCTCTCCCTTTGTTAAGGTGCACCCCCTCTCCAATCCTGTGTTAAACTGCCCTATAAAAATGGTTTTTCCTGCCAGGAAGCAGCATAGATCTGCAATATTACATTTATAAATATTATAATGTTTGAAGTGGCTATGTATATTTTTACAGTGTGTTCTCTCCCTTTGTCCAGGACGGCCCTCAGCCTGTGCTAAGCTGCCCTGTAAAAATGGATTCTCCTGCCAGGACAGTGCTGATGGTTCCTACACCTGCTCCTGTCACTCAGACTGGGGCAGGAACTGTGACCACATCCCAGACTACTGGTGCCTCAGTAATGTGAGTGTTGATCTCTTCTTCAGTAATATCCCAGCCTTTGTTTTTTTAAATCATCTATTGTTATCATCATCATCTCTTAACGCCCATTGGTACTTGAGGTATCAACAAGTGAGCGACATTTTAGCTATAGCCTCTGGTTGTTGGAATGTTTGCCCTCTCTGCTTCAACGCTTTTTTCATTGATGTTCTCCATGGCCTTCATCGTTTTCTTTTGCCCACTGGTGTTCGTTTGAGAACTGTCTCATTCTTAGCCATGACCCAACCATCTCCATCTTCTGTGCCTGATTTTTGAATATGTGTTTTTTTACTTTCTCATATATACGAAGTATAGAGAAAGTATTGTAATTGTGCAAAAAAAAAAAAAAATCGAGATTTTTACAAATCTCGACGTTTTACAGCTCACTGATACGGAAAAACATAATTTTGCAATCTTGTCGGTATGTCTCTGTGTCTGTGTGTGTCTGTGTGTAAACACGATAACTTGAGTACCGTTACAGCTAGGTTGATGAAATTTCATATATAAGTATTTTATCAAAATCGTAGATCCTGATCAACATTTGAGCGATTTCCGATAACCGGAAGTGGTACTTTTTCTACTTTGAATTTTTAAAAAGCCTATAACTTGAGTACTAGATAGATAAATGAAATTTCACATGTAAGTAAAAGATCTAATTCTCTACCATATGTCACATTTTGAGTAATTTCCGTTGACCGGAAGTACTAATTTACGCTATTTCCGATTTCTCAAAAAACGCACGTAAATTTATAAAGTACAAATAATATCCCGCACTATTATGCACATTTTATTAGGCGTTCACTTAGTGTGCAATTCTTTTTTTTACGAGATTCCATTCTATTATAAAAAGTTTAAGTAATTAAAAATGGATTACAAATATTGTCTATTTCCTGAGTTGCCATCCCTCGTAGTTTTATATTAGAATATCCTAGAAAGTTTAGGGGAGATCACTCCCGGTTTATTTTAATTTAATTTAACATAGTTGTAACATTTTATATTCAAAATTATCTTTATTTGGTGGAAGGTGTTGTTAATTGGTAAATGATACTTCACCAAAAAGTCCCTAGGTCGCTTCACAGCCTTGCATCAGTAGGGTGTCAACCTATAGTGTCCACCCCACCCAGTGGGTAGTATAGAAAAAGAAAACAGATTAGCTCTACTTCACCTGCTCTGTAAACTGTCCTTTCTAAAAGGGCTTAAAAATATGTAATATTAACAGCAATTTCTTGAAATTCCAAAATTCATATGCCTGTATTGGCCAAATTAAAAAATATAAAATATGTATGACAAATGTTGGCCAAAATACAAAATATGTAGGCCTATGTAGGACAAATGTTGGCCCAAATATAAAATATGTAGGACAAATGTTGTCCCAAATAAAAAATATGTAGCCTATGTAGGACAAATGTTGGCCCAAATAAAAAATATGTAGGCCTATGTAGGACAAATGTTGGCCCAAATATAAAATATGTAGGACAAATGTTGGCCCAAATAAAAAATATGTAGGACAACTGTTGACCCAAATGTAAAATATGTAGGACAAATGTTGGCCCAAATATAAACTATGTAGGCCTATGTAGGACAAATGTTGGCCCAAATACAAAATATGTAGGCCTATGTTGGACAAATGTTGGCCCAAATATAAAATATGTAGGACAAATGTTGTCCCAAATAAAAAATATGTAGGCCTATGTAGGACAAATGTTGGCCCAAATAAAAAATATGTAGGCCTATGTAGGACAAATGTTGTCCCAAATGTAAAATATGTAGGCCTATGTAGGACAAATGTTGGCCCAAATATAAAATATGTAGGCCTATGTAGGACAAATGTTGGCCCAAATATAAAATATGTAGGCCTATGTAGGACAAATGTTGGCCCAAATATAAAATATGTAGGACAAATGTTGGCCCAAATATAAAATATGTAGGACAACTGTTGGCCCAAATATAAAATATGTAGGACAAATGTTGGCCCAAATGTAAAATATGTAGGACAAATGTTGTCCCAAATGTAAAATATGTAGGACAAATGTTGGCCCAAATGTAAAATATGTAGGACAAATGTTGGCCCAAATGTAAAATATGTAGGACAAATGTTGGCCCAAATGTAAAATATGTAGGATAAATGTTGGCCCAAATGTAAAATATGTAAGACAAATGTTGGCCCAAATGTAAAATATGTAGGACAAATGTTGGCCCAAATGTAAAATATGTAAGACAAATGTTGGCCCAAATGTAAAATATGTAGGACAAATGTTGGCCCAAATGTAAAATATGTACAAATGTTGGCCAAAGTATAAAAGTCCAACAAAAAGTAACAGGTTATTTTAATTGCTTGTACAGGCTGAGTGTGGACAAGGGCTGAAGTGTGTTCATCAGAGAAAATGCCAGGATGGCCTGTGTGAAAACCTTGCCAGGTGTACAGGTAAATAGGTGTTACATCAGGCCAAGCTTAGGTATTTGTTAATGTGAAACTTTCTTTGAATAGTGGGTATGGTTAATAATTGATATGAGCTGGGGCAATTTGGAAAAAAAAATTTTTACCTAAAAATAAATTCAATTTGAATTATCTCTGTTATTATATACCATGTTTAATTTACATCTTACTATATTTATATGAATTAAATTCTAAATTATATTAAAAAAAATAATCTACAACCTTTTCGGACAAGAAATGCAAATGGGGGAAATAAAATTTCATTTTGTATTATTCATTTTTGTTGTTCTGAACATTTTTAAAAATTATGTAATATTCTTCCAATTTTTTTTTATACAGCATATTTATTTTGGCTTATATTTCAGCTGCGGCAAGGGTATTTAAATGTGACTCCTCTGTATGTTCAGCCAATGAAGACTGTGTCAATGATGATTCCATTTCTCGGGGTTATTTTTGCCAGCCCAAAAGTAAGCATCAAAAACCATTCTTGCAAATGTTCTATTTACATGCTTTGTTTGTTTTTGTCTGCGTTGTGTTATGTTAGAACAGGGGTCTCCAAACTTTTCAGCCCGAGGGCCACATTCACTATCAAATTTGTAGATCGGGGTCTGACAACTCACTCGAGACCCAAATAAAAAAGAATCAAAACACGGATGTTGTTTTTAATTATGTATTTAATATTATCTTATTCACCTATTATTTAATAACACATTTATACACTACACACGAACACCTGTATAAGGGGGAATGGTGAAATTGTTTTCTGGATGCAAGTACAGAAGACATTTCTGGCTTTCGATTCAATGTCCCTAACAGCAACAGTGACCTATGATTATCATCGTACAAGTTTGTTCTCAAATTGTTCTTCACATGCACGGTTTCGTTGCAAATCACACACAATACTTTCTCGACAGATTTGATGAAGTATTTCAAAATCCATTCTTCTTGAAATTGCAGATAAACATCTTCTATTTTTCTTTTCCTTGTCTTGGACATTGCTGGGCACTAAGATAAAGTGAATCCCGTAGTCAAAAGGATCTCCACGGACCGGATGAGAGGGCCTTGCAGGCCACATACGGCCCGCTTCCTTAGTTTAGAGACACCTGACCTAGAACATTGTTTATTTTTTAACTTCGAGCCCTGTCATAGGCCATGTAGAGAGTATCGGTCTCATCTTGTCTAAATCCTCGTGTTTAAAACTAAGTCGAATACCGCCCCATTGGCTAGTCGGTATTCGTGACGTTTGAGTATTGAATACAAGCAGTTTTTTTATTCTTGGGTAAATATCAATTTTGTCCACTCTGTCCACTCGACTCACGTCGAACTCGACGCATGTTGACAGGGCTAGAAAAGCCAGCTTGACCAATGGCCAGGGGTTGGAGGTGACATCAGAGATCAACGACCTGGCTTGGGGAGATATCTTGGAGAATACCGGAAGCGTTTGCAGCTTCTGAAGCTCCGATATATCCGTTAGTTCCAGGCAGGTGTTAGCCAACAGGTACTTAGCCACATGCGTATAGCCCAGAACTAAAGTGGTTACCAAAGGGGAAATACGGTAAAAAGTTAAATGCGCCGGTTCTTGCTTGAGCTTCATCGTCAAGTATTCTTTTAATAGATCGTTACAAGTTTCTGGTAGGTAAAAAATGTGATTTGGTACTATCCCGCGAGACAGCAACACGCGAAGAACATTTGGTTTCTGACATGCCTTTATAAAACACGCTGATCTGTTGCTTAAATGTTTTTGCAATGCCGCGTTCATGAAATGGGTTTCGCCTTCTTCTAAAAACAGGTTCTTATTTCTATTTACTTTGTTACTCCTTATGTACAGGTCAGAAGGTACGTTTCTTCTGTAATTGGAGGTGGAGTAGAAATCACGACGGCTTGGTTTATTCACTAAAAGCGTGAAAAATGAATCGCCTTTTAGGTTAATTTCATGGATGTTCGCGCCATGATGGGCTAGTTTACGGAATACTGTAGGGCTACACTGGGATGTAGCTACGGCATGTAGCAATGCAGTATTGCCTTTAGTATCCCTAATGTTGATATCTTTGCCTTTTAAGATCTCAACCAGTTCACATCGAAAATTAAACCGTAGAAACGACATCATAAGGGCTGTTAAACCATCACTGTCTTGAAGGTTTACATCGGCTCCAAATGCTACTAAATCTTTGATTTGGACCACAGGGTTTGAAACAGCCGCGTACATCAAAACGGTCCTTCCGTCTACATCTTGAGCGTTTACTCCACAAGGAATCAACAAGCTCATTATTTCTTTACTACAAGCATGTCCAATATTCTTCAATGACTTCATTAAAACCGTTTGCTTGTTTACATCCCGATGCATTAGGTCAGCGCCATTTTGTATTAAAAACTCAACATCCCTTGATTTCCTCGCGTACGCTAACGCTGTTTGACCAATCTTGTCCTCCATGTTAATTGACCTGCCTATTAAACACTTTAAACAATCTGGCGACATTTCTTTACCCAAAGCCAACATCAACGCTGTCCTTTTTCTACTATCCGTACTTTCCACTTCCGCGCCAAGACTAACAAGCAGCTTAACGCAATCTTCGGAGCCTGTCTCTACGGCATGCATTAGCTCAGTATATCCGCATAAATCAGAAGCGTTGCTGTTGGCAAACAAATATCGCACAACATCCAACTCAATCTCCTTCGAATTTCGAAGATAGTGCATCAAAGCTGTCTTGAATCCTTGGTCCTGATACAATCGAGCTTTGTTATCTAAGTAAGGAAAGAGCGCTTTAATCAAAAGAGGTTTGTACTGAGCAGCGTAGATCAAAGCTGTTTTATAATAACGGTCATAACATGACAAGTCTCTCCCTACTAAACACGTGATAATCTCTTCGGATATGTCCTTTTTGGAAACCAGAGCATGAATCAAAGCCGTTTGTCCTGATTTGTCTTGTATGGATACCGACTCACCACAAAGGAGTTGAACGCATTCTATAGAGATGGTTTGAGTTGTGTTGGTGACCGGTAAACTGCTGCGAAGGTACTCCTTGAACATGTGCATTAGCGCGGTCGCGCCTTTGTGGTCGAGTTGGTTCACATCCGCGCTGTAGCTTAGCAAAACCCGGACAGTTTTAGCACAGCCGGTTTGGGCTGCATACATTAAAAGCGTGTACCCTCTACCGTCCCTGGAGTTAACGCCGTGTGCACTACATTTTTTCATCAACTTTGCGCAAGTTATTAGATGATCATTATACTGGCGTACGTTTGTTGCTTTACTCGTATCCCAAAATGCACCAAACTGCACCAACTTTTCTACTATACCACTTTGGCCATTCTTACAAGCGAGACTAAGAGCTGTGTGTTTAGATTTGTTGACTAAATTAGCATCGGCTTTCATCTCCAGCAGATATTGAACACAATTCATCGACCTCCTCTTCACAGCTATCATCAACGCTGTGTTGCCTTTTAAATCTGTAACGTTAACATCAACCCCAGCACTAACCAAAACTTCAACTCCGCTATGAAAATCTGCTTCCACGCACTCAAAAAGTGCCAAGATCAAAACCGTCTTTTCTACTTTCAGTTTGACCAATGTGCCTAGTGCGGTGACATTTTTGGTCTTCACCGCCATCTTGAACACCTTATCTGCGCATGCGCTATCACTGACTTGCATGCCGTATTTAGCCATCACCTCGCTTAGTTCCTCCGGTGTTTGCGTAGACGCGGCAATCACAACAGCATTGATGTTCTGAATGTTCTTACTTTTAAAGAGACTTGCCATCATGGAACTAGTTTTAAGACCATACCATCTTCATTTAGAGGTCGTCCATAAATGACACCACACTCATAGATTGGAGGGGGGGGGGGGTTCGTTGTTATGTGATGATTTGTGATTTATAGAGAAGTAATGCTAGACTGTAGCCGTTATTTCGAAACTTAGAAAGCTCGTTTCAATAATTTGTAATAGAAAGCGATTAATTTACTCTATTTTGACATCGCTCAGTCAGTATTAATATTTTAGGAAAAAAAAAAATCAATTCAAATTTTTTATTAGCAATTTTGAGGGGGGGGGGGTGTAGTCGTCATTTTTAGGGTAAAGGTATGGCTTTTTGTGGAGTGGAAAGTTAAAATATCATTTTAAAAAGTGTGACGTCATTTATGGATGATCCCTTATATAGAAAAAGTTAACAACTAAAAGTGTTAACAATCCACTCAGTTTACAAAATGTCATGCAGCAAATTCATTTAGGCATGAAGTTGACGACGTAAACAGTTTTTTTTAAGTTAATGGCGACATTAGGTGTATTGGTTTCCGCTTCGATGGCGACGTCATCAACTGTCTATTTGAGTTTAGCGGTGACGTAATAAGCATCCAATTTTTATGAAAAGTGGTGACAAAATTTATTGTTTCTGTAATGTTAGTAGTGACGCCATTGGGCGCTAATTTTTACGTGAAGCCGTCTTTCAATGTGATATAGTATAGCCAGTGATTCTGTAAACTTAGCTACAGAGTGTCTTCAGAAGTCTATTTATTATGCTGGGTCTTGATGTGTCCCCTGCGCAGCTTTAGAATAACGTCCAATCATATTCAATCAACAGCTTGAGGCTCTGACGAGGATGTGATAAGAATTTGTATTCATAGCTGTAATTGAAAAAAAAAGGAAAGTCAAGTATAATTAAAACATTAAACAATTTACAGCTTTGTAATACGTTCTAAAAAATACACGTAGTGTATTTAGTATCTTTATTTAAGTTCAATAATTACATGCCATATGAAGACATCGCGATATAGTCCAAGTTATCTGCACTGACATCGTGATGTAAGCTCATTTTGTATTACACACTAATACACAGTTATACATACATCTCATTAACGATACACGTTATACACAGCCATCATAATTTGCTATTAGTACACTTACATCATGATGTATGTGTATGTAAAGAACACAAATACAATAAACCGGGAGTGATCTCCCCTAAACTTTCTCGAATATTCTTATATAAAACAACAGGGGATGGGAACTCGGGACATAGTTATGATTTTTAATCCATTTTAAATACATAAACTTTTTAAAATAAAATAGAATCTCATAGAAAAAAGTATTGCACACCAAGCAAACGCCGAATAAAGATGTTCATAATGGTGCGCAATATTATTCGTACTTTATAAATTTAGATGAGTTTTTGAGAAATCGGAAATAGCGTAAATTAGTACTTCCCGTCAACGTAAATTACTCAAAATTTAACAGAAGGTAGAGAATTAGATCTTTTACTTACATGTGAAATTTCATTTATCTATCTGAAATAGTACTCAAGTTATAGGCTTTTAAAAAATTCAAAGTAGAAAAAGTACCACGTCCGGTTATCGTAAATCGCTCAAAAGTTGATACGGATCTACGATTTTGATAAAATACTTATATATGAAATTTCATCAACCTAGCTGTAACAGTATTCAAGTAATCGTGTTTACACACACACAGACACACACACAG